ATTTCTTACCAATTAAAGTGCATTAAGGATGACCCGTCTCCTCAATTACTATACAGAGGATAACATATGGTGAGCTAATTAGCCGGGTAGAAGCATCTCCCCAAAGTAAATTTATCCCTGAAGGAGTTGGTGAGGTTGAGGAAGTGCATGGCTAAGAGGGTCTGCAGAGGAGGCATTGCTTTCTTCCACTTGGAAATGTGCACTCGTAAGCCCAGCACTGAACCGGAGTTGACGAAGTAGATGTCATTTGAGAGGAATTATAAACCAATGAAACACTTTTGCCTTATGCCCCCACCCAGTCACTCATGTCTTAATGTCTCCAACTAGCACCTCAGTGAGAGCGTCTTGAGTATAAATCATACCAGCCACAGGCTGTGGGGAAGGACTGCAAATCTTATACACAAGAACTTAAATCACTTTCCTTACTGTCTCTGACATGTGTGCACACGCATGCATACACACACACACACACAAATGTTTCTTAAATGGCCATACACATAAATAAGATACCTGTTGCAAGTGGGTGGCTTTGAATGCAAAGCTTTTGTATTAGTTTTGCTGATTGTTATGGCTTATATTTAGATGTCCCCCCTCCAAAAGCTTCATACACTCAAGGTGGGGGTCTTGGGGTGGGGGGATTGGATCATGGGTGTTATCCTGGGTTATGGGAGTGTGATACTGGATTAACCAAAGAGTTACAGCTGAGAGTGATGATGTGAAGTGAAGCCTGGTGGGAGAAAGTGCTTTACTGTGGGTGTGGCCAGGAAAAGCTTTGAAATGTGCTTGCTCTTGCTTTAACTGCTGCTGCTTCCTGCCTGCTACCCCATGAACTTTTTCTCCTCTGCCATACTGCCCTGCCTCAGAGACAGCCAACCATGGACTGGAAAACCACAACAAAAGAAACCTTTCCTCCTTTAACTTGTCAGGTATTTCGTCTCACCAATGAGAAAGGAACTAAGACACTAATATTGTCCTTGCTTTGATTGGACTTTTTTTTTCCCCCCGCTACTGACCAACTCTACTTCCATTCCTTACAAAGGATGGCAAATCCTGCCTCTTCATTGTGACTAAGGAGACAACACATATAAACATGTCCTTAGATCCTTGAAAAAAAAACTTTTATGAACAAGGTTGGCGGGGGGCACCATTGTTAAGATTCTAGGGCATCCTCTGAACGTAACTTGGGACCATTGGTTAATATCAATTGGACAGTTCAACCAGCCAAGAAGACAATTTTATGTAAGGATGGCTTTTCCCTTGTCACTCATCTTAGTATGTTCAGGCAATATATTTAAGGATCTTTTTATGAATGGCATAATGGTCTACAAATGCTAGTATTTTCACTGATACTGAGTATGCATTACTACTATATGGATCACTGTTCTTTATACTTATAATCATCTATTTTGGCTGGAGGAAAAAAAAAACCCACAACTCTTTCATTAAAACTCAATAGCCATAGCCTCCAAATATGGTTTTGCTAGAATATCTTAAATCTCTAGTTCTAGAAGAAAATGACAGATGCCTCTCTACATAAGCGCAATACACTGGGCAGGCTACAATACCCTAAGACAATAAGAATTTTTTTGGCTATCTCCCGACGTCATTATGAGGAACCTGGTAAAGTGCCTTGCCATAATACAGATATTCATATGATGAAATAATTTCTGTCAAAATAGAACCCAGTACCACGAGAGTCATCTCAGAACTTGTCTTTGTGCACATGGGCATTCATTTCTACACTGTATTTTTCAGAGAGGTTCTTGGAGGTAAAGGATAGCACAGAGCGGTCCAGGTGTTTCCAGAAAATTAATCCCTTTTGGGGGTGATGACCCTGGGACGTAACTGCCTCCGACTATGTCCCCTCGTCTCAACAGTGTCACACTGAGCACCGAGTGTACCCCATGCCTACCTGAGGAAGAGGAAGACACCAACAGCATTCATTCCACAGCAGACACCAGAGTCACGAGTGCCTCACCCTCACACCTGTACAAGATACTGTCTAACACCATAGGAGGTGCACAAAATAGACCCTGTGATTTTACTTACTACAAAACCAGTGGTGCGAAGGATACCACATCACCGCTGCAGCACCGCAGAAGTACAAAAACGAAAATGACAATTGAGGGAACTGCTGCCCACTCGTGATCTCCAATAGATTTTCTATGCACACAAGGTGTCAATGAGGGAACACAGCAACTTCCACATCAGGAATTGACAACCTCACATCCAGAGTGACCTTGTGCCTTCAGCATCAGCCTTCACATTCCTTAAAAATACATGTGTTTCTCTTCAGCTCTGGATTTTTGCCTCTTAATGCCAACTTCCATCATAATAACTTTGCTTTCATTGCCCAATTTTGTAATTCTGCATCATGCACTTTTACTTCTCATCAATATTACTGCTCTATCATCTTTATCTTACACAAAGTTATCTTTTAAATTTTCAGCAAGTTGCTATAAACACCAAAGGTCCAGTTTTCAGACAAAATTTCCATTTCTAAGTTTCTATAAACACCAAAGGTCCAGTTTTCAGACAAAATTTCCATTTCTCTTTAATTTTGCAGCACGGGAGATGAAACCCAGGGCCTCACTCAGGCTGAGCCACACCCTTGAGTCTCCAGCTCCATTTCTCCTTAAAGTACTCTCCTGTAAGTTACAAATGGAAGACATACAAAAATCCATCCGTTTGCTTCTTTTGAATAACAACTGTTCATACCCCTATAGTCTACCTATTTAATTACATTGATTTGGCCTCGTCTTATCAATTTGATTGGCTTTGGAAATGTCCAGCAAATTAGAAAAGTTCTGATGAGGGCTCTAACTTTGGCAATGGACTGATCCGTTAATAAATTCGTAGCTTAATAGGCACAGTAAGAAGGAGGCATGATTAAAGTTGGCCCCTGGGGGCATGGTTTTGAAGGGTGTGTTTTGTTTCCTATCACTTCCACTGTGACTTTCTACCTCTCTTTCTCCTTCCTGACTGCCATGAGGTAAGCTGGTTTGTTCCACCATCCTCTTTCCCCCCCAGATGCTTTTGCCCTAACCGATCCTCAGGCATGGAATCAACCAACTATGGACTGAAACCTCCAGAACTAGGAGCCAGAGTAGCTCTTTTCTCCTCTATGTTGGCTTTTCCAGGTATTTCTTACAGTGACAGAAAAGTAACATAGTCTTTATGCATTGTATAAAATAATGCAGGTACCTGCCTATATAATTTACAACTTTGTCTATTTCTCCATTGACAGATATTTCATTTGCTAACTCCAACCCCCAAAAGTATGGATTAAAAGTTATCTAAGAGACTCCAAAGAAATCATTCACTCTACTCAGATTACTTACAGAATTTTTTGGTTTAAAGGTTGCCCTAAAATATTCTGGATCTTTCCATGTCATTTACACTCCAAGGGCAAACTCGGGATGCAATCAATGGCATGATTTTTCCTCACTGGTTTGCTGTATTAAAGATTAACAACCAGGGTGACACAGGATCCTGTCACTGGCATTCCTTTTGGAATTGCCTCAGAAGTACCTCACGTGACAAGTGGGCCGAGCCTCTTGAAGCAGAGGCCCCACAGCGTCACAACTGCTTTAGCCGTGGTCCCGTCCCTCCCCGCAAATACACCCCTTCCCCAGACAGTCTGTTGAGAGGCATCTACTTTGTGCGGAAGGATAGTGCGGTTACAGTAAACATACGGGTTCTTCTGCCTCCCTCCCGGAGAAACAAGAATTCTTACCAAGCGAACCCCAAGTAGAAAAAGTGACACCCACCGTCGTATGAACTCAGTGGCTTCCAGCGTCAGCCTTTGGGTGAGGTTGTCAAAAGACATGGGCTGCTGGCTGACCTCATAGTTCCTCATCAGGAAGCAGTTCAGGGGCCGGAAGTAATGGAGGAAACACAGGAAAAGGACCAGGATCAGGGCCGCCAGGAGGAAGAAGAAGATAAATACACCCAGGGGCACGTGGATCAGCCTTAGGAAGCGGAGCACGGCCAACGTGAACAGAGTGACCCCGATGATCTGCAGGGGGAAGAACACCAGCGATCTGTAGGCCGAGGTGAAGACGGTGCCGGCCCCCGGTTTGCAGTCCCTCAGGTTGGTTATGGGAATCCCATAGAAGTAATCGAAGCCGTGGCGTAAAGGGTGGTGGCAAAAGTCAGTTGTGCTGTGACAGTTTATTCCAAGGTGCCATTTCCCTGAGGACACAAATGGAGAAGACCTTTTAGTCCCAGTGGAAGGCCCCGAATTCAAGGCGAGCATGTAAATCCACATGGTAGAATGCTTGATCTCTCCGCCTATTTTATGGCCCAGGATTCCCAATCATAGCACCCCACAGATTGGCAAGTTTTATTCCACAAGCACGAAGTTATTAGCCACTGAGTCTACCAGAAAAGAAAACCAAATTCACAATTAAAGGAAAAAAAAAAAAACAAGAACAACAAAGCAAACAAAAACTTTAGTATAAAATCACTTAACAGCTTAAATAGGCACAAAGAAAAACTGTGTAGTAAAAAACACAAGTATATTTGTTGTTGATGTGTCCTCAGAGAAAGACAAATTTATGACAGTTTGGATCTGCAAGGGCGCACGTGTTGAAGCTGTTGCTCAGCGTGGGGCTGTTGGGAGCTGGTGGAACATTCAAGAGGGACAGTCTTGCGGCAGGAAGTGAGGTCACTGGGTGGAGCATGGCCTGTTGTGGGACCCGGCCTTTTCCTCTCGCTCTCTTTCACCTCCTGCCCATGAGGTAAAAAGAGTCTTTGCTTCCCCATGCCCTCGCACCAGGATGGACCACCACAGGGTCACAACTACGGAAACTGTGAGCCAAATAAACCTCCTCTCGCCGTAACTTGATTCTTTCAGGTGCGTGGCATATAATGACAGAAATCCAGATAACGCACAATTATGGTACTGAAGAGTAAAATGAAAACCTTTTATCTACACAGTGTACATATACTTCTGGGAGCTGTCTGTCTGTATAGTTAGTTATGTTTATGTGTCTATCCATTACCTCTTGTTTATGTTCTGTTTAGTTTGCCTTCTCTCTGTCCATCCATCTATGCAGCCATCCATCCTTCCGTCCCTGTATATATCTTTTTTTTTTTTTTTTTTTTTTTTTTTTTGTGGTACTGGGGATCCAACTCAGGACCTTACGCTTGCAAGGCAGGCGCTGGAACCACTGGGCTAAATCCCCAGCCCTCCCTGTATATCTCATTTATTTCATCTATGATCTGTTTATCTTCCCCATCTATCATCATCATAATCGCTCTCATCTATTTTCCATGTACCCATCATCTCTTCTGAAATTTTTCCTTTCCTCTATCTTTCCATCTATCTTCTGTGCATCCACTTTATCATCATCTATTTGTTTTTGCATCTAATCTATGATCTCTCCAACCACTCATTCACCCACTCAAACGATCTATGTATATATGTAGGAATATATGTAGATCATGCATATATACATACAAACATCTTTCCCTCTGTTCATGGAACCACCTACACACCCAAATGATATCTATTTTCTTTTACCTATCATCAATGTGTATCATATTTCTACCTATCACCTACTGATTAACACTTTCCTTGATCTATTTATCCATCCTTCCATCTGTCTGCCTATTTATCACTATGTGTCTCTCCACTTCTTACTCACACATGAAAACACATCTATATAGCCAAATAGCATAGAGTATTTTCTCATTTAGAGGAGCGTGAAGCTTATCAGTGACACCACCCTGAGGTTGCTGAAGGCTGCTTCCAGTCTCTCTCTGGCCCTGCGTAGCTCCCCGCTGTCCCATACCTATCAGTGCCGTGGAGTAGCCCTGGTCCTTCAGGAGCCTGGCAAATGTCATCTCACTGGTGGGAAGTCCTCCGGAAGAAGCCATGAAGATGTAAACTCCCAACTGGGTGCGAGGTGACATCCCTAAAGCAAGAAAAATCCATCTTTAAGAACCAGAAGAATACCGGCCTGCCGGGGAGGCTACTCAGAGCAGGACAACGGCCAGACACACGGTAGGTTACCTAAGCGGACGGGGTACCGGCCCGTCATGAAGGCAGCCCGGCTGGGTGTGCACAACGGTGACGCTGCCAGGTGCTGTGTGAGCTTCACTCCCCCTGTAGCCAGCCTGTCAATGTTGGGAGTCCTGGAACGAAAGCACCGCGCCTTTTGTCAGATCATCAAAAGCTTGGTGATTGCTCACACTGATAACTAAGCTCTGATGGGGAAGAAAACAGTGACCCGTGGCATGCCCTCCTCCAGGGTACCCCAGCACCCACTCCCTTCATCTCTGGCTTACAAGAGAGAGACCAAGTCCTCCCCGGTGGGTTCTGGTGAGCAGGGAGGGGAGCAGATGACAAACAGTCACATTTCCCCCTTCCCTATGCTTGTCCTCCTCCTCCAGTCTCCTCAGGGCCACTAAGGAAATACGTGATTCATCTCTTCCCGGGCACGTCTGAAGAGAAGCCGGTGCTCCTACCTCTGCCTCACTTCCACATACCGCAGGGCAGAGAGAGGACTCAGAGCCTCTGAGAATCAACACCAGCTGCCAGCCACTCCACGGCACGGACAATGGCTCTCTCCCATGTTTCAGGCGGCCTCCTTTCAATTTACTTTGCACTGATGTCTGCTCATGTAATGAAGCTCCCTACCCGACTACTTTTAGGTCGTTTTCTCATTATTGCAAGAGAAAACAAAATTCGACTCAAAGGCCCGTCAGATGGAGGGCTTTCAACGTTCCCATGTGGTGTCCCGGTGCGAATCACCCTGCAGTGCTGTCGTCAAAACCCACAGCCAAGTGTTTATCCAGCCGCTGCATTTCCATACCTGAGAGTCTTGTTCCCGTAGCACCCTGGATCTCCCACGCCAAGGTCATCGGCCATCAGCAGGACGATGTTTGGCCTCGATGCTGGCTGGCTCTTGGCTTCCCACAGAAGCACTAGCAGGAGGAGACCAACCTTCATCTTCCTGCATAGGGCAAAGAGAAAGCAGGGAGGTGAAGGATGCTGGTTGCTCCCCTCCGTCTCTTTGAGTCTCTTCCCTCTTGCACAAACTTGGGAAGAGGCCATTCTCACATCACACCTCCTCCAGACAGAATGTGCTCGAGAGACACTTAGGTCTAAGAAATGGCAAGGATAAGAAGGCATTATCATTCCCTCCCTGTGCATTTGTTTCCAAAACATACGGTTCCCTCTCTACGGTTAGCCGTGACTTCTCTGCTCCAACCTGTATGAAAATGGAGGTTCTAGTTAGAAAAATGAGAATGCTATCACTTCCCATCAGCCCTTTATTAAAGGCAGGCTCCTTCTTGAGCTAACACTTTGCTCTTTAAGTCCTGGAAAGACAGGTCCTTTGTGAAGAATCAATTCACAATGTCATACTCTTTCTGAAGTGAGCTCTGACGTTGGGTGTAGAAGGTTTTAAAGAGGGAACTCTGTACACCATTCCAAACTCAAAGAGCATGGGTTACCAGCCACAGGCAGCTCTGTGTGCTGTCCAGGGTGCCAAGGAGAGAGAACTATTCATCTTTATGCCCAGTCCCTCAGCACACACTTGCCTAGTGGCATTTTCCTCCTTGTAAGGACAGCAGGATGGAGGACTCTGCGGGGAGCATGGTGGTTTGAGAACACAGACATGACCGCCCCTCTCGGAGGCCCACAGACATTGCTGTAGGGATAGAGACCCGTAGGTAGGGAAAGATGAGGGATTCCCTCCTCCCAAGGAGTTTAGATAGGTGGCTTAACCACCTGAGGAGCTGAAAAACAGTGTGCTTGCATTTCTTCACGCTGTACCCTGCAAAGCTCGGTTTGTGAAAAGTTGAAAGAAAAGGAGACCTGACTCAAAAGTGTGAAAAGCCCCCAAAGACCCTTCCCCATCTTGCCCAGGAAAGAGCCAAGGGAACAATCAAGTAGGGGGTGCCCTCAGCCCAGAGACAGGATAGGCCCCCGACTACTATGAAATCAATGCCTCGAGTCCCCCCTTTAACTGTGGCTATGGCTCGGCCACCCCTGCCCGTCTCTCAGAGAAGGCAGCTGTATTCTTGCACGCTCGCTGAACAATCGTACAAACTTTGCTTCCACACTTTCGGCCTCTGTCTGATTCTTCCACAGCCTTCCGCACTGATAGGAGAATCACGCCCCAGATCGCCAGGACTCTCAGCGCGTCTGCACCCCTGATATTGCTAATGACTGCTCATCAAAGAAGAGGATTTTATGCAATGCAGCAGCGACGGGGAAGCGCCTGCCCGCCCTCCTCATCACCGAGCATGGGTGGGTGGGCACAGCCCACAGGCCAGACACAAGGAGCTGTCTCACTGTCCCTTTGACAGGGCGAAGCCAGAGGAGACCTTAGCACAGCCAGTGGCAGCAGGCACAGAGAGAGGAGAGTGCTGCATCAGGCATGGGATGGGTCTGTGACTGGGGAGCCCCAGCAGAGCTGAGGGAGTAGGTTTGCAGCCAGAGGGAGGATCACACTTTGCAGTCATTCCACAGCGGTTTACCCAGCAGATGCCTCCGAACAGGACCTGGTGCTACAGCAGAACACACTGTGAGGGGCCTTTCCTAGACACCTGCTTCTTTGGAACCAATGCATATGAGGGTCGATCGAAATACAGGGTGTGTGTTTCAGTGAAAAAGAAAATATTTCTTCACGGTAAAAGACACACTGCCATGCATCCATCTCAAAATCATTCCCATGGCTTCCAGCGTACTCTTCCCTTCACTCTCGGTGCTCCTGAAACAGTTCTTCAAGTCCTCTTTCCTGAGTGTCCTTACCAGGTGTGGCCAAAAGCTCAGCAACTGCTGGTGCCAAGGGTCACGTAACAGACAAGTCAGCTTGTAAAGAAGTAAGTGTGTTCTATCCACATTTTTCGCTGTATCTGGTACCATGTGACTTCTGGCTTCCTCAAAGTCAAAATGACCATGAAAGGTCCATGTCTTGAGTACACTCAGGACATTGAGGCAGCCAGGACAGCGGAGACCAAAGACGCTCAGGAAAGGACTCCAGAGTGGCTACAGAAGGAGGTGGCAAAGATGATAGATAAGTGTGATCCAGCCAGGGGGAGGATTTTGAGGACAGTGCATCTTTTACTGTGATACATTTTTAAAATCGAAACATTTATCACATTGTGATCACACCTGGTGCACTGGCTTACATGCCAATGGAATTAAAGATACTGAGATGAGGACATTTTTGTGGATTATTCGGTTGGGCCAACGCAATCCCAGGAGTCTTAGTTACTAGAGGGAGGCAGACGGATGAAGTAGTCTACTGCATATCCGTATTTGTGAGTGTCTTTTCTTAACCTTTTGCTCTCCTGACTTCTCTCTTTCCCCCTTCTCTCTCTTTTTTTCTGTCTTGGTGGTAGGAATGGAACACAGGGCATTCTGACATGCTAAGCAAGTGCTCCACCACGAGCTATATCCCCAGCCCTTTCCATTTTATTTTGAAACACTGTCTCACCAAGTTGCTAAGGCTGGCCTCAAACTTTCTATCCTCTTGCTTCAGCATGCCGAGTAGCTGGGGTCACAGGCACGCATCACCGTGCCCTGCGCTGACTTAACGGCAGATGTCACACCCTGGGGCCTTTCCCAGGAGCTGCTTCTCCACTGAGGAACCCCTCCATCTCTCACCAGAAGTCCATACCCTTCTGGCCAGTACCACTGCAGGATTAGAGACCCACTGGGTATGCATCAAGGAGACAGTCCTTTCAAATTCCTTCCCAAAGATCTCTTTTTCCTGAATGACTGCCGTTTTCCAAGGCTTTGCAGCATGCCTCCTGCTGCTTTTGTATCTTACCAAAAGTAGAATGGAGGCTGTCGGTCCAAGAGACCCCACAGCCACTGTCCATTCCATTTTTGAAGCAGAACCTTCATGTATGCTTCCTTTGCTTCCACATTAAGTATTTATAACCCCATTGTAGGGGCAGCTGTCCTGTGCACTCCAGAAAGCAGAGCACTGCTGGCCTCCATCCACTAGAGGTCAGTAATGTGTCTCCTCTTAGCGATGATAGCCAAAGGTCCCTCTAAACTGCACCGACTGTACCTTGAAGCAGAAAAGGGCAAAACCTGCACCCTGTTGAGTATGATTTCACTGCAGCAAAAGAAGCAGCTGCCCTGAGAGATCAAATGCTCAAAGCCAAGAAAGAGCTCTCTGCCAACTACTTTCCTCTTGGCCCCAAGAGTAGTATCTTTTCTTAGGAGATTGGATAAGCTTGGTTTATGCAATCATCAAATCCAAGTTACTGCATCTTAGCTCTCTGAATGTGAAATATTCTGAGAAGAATGAGCTTTTCTATTCTTTAAAAATCAGGCCATCACTATGGAATATATAAACCATGAAACATTATATAAGTACAATATAAAATATTTGATCATTTTAAAGAAATAATCTTTGGTGACAATCCTGGAGGTATTTTCTTCACACACAACTTTAGGAATCAGAAAGAAACCTTTGCCCTTCTGTGTTCTAGGGAATGCCTCATCTTAGTTGATCTGGCACTCTTGCTGTTAACTTAGATCCTCAAACTTTGTAAAGTGTTTAACACTGAATATTAGTTAGCTTGATGTCACTTTACATAAACAACTTCAAGGAGGAAAAGTTCATTTTGCCTAATGATTTAAAGACGCTCCCATCCACATGTGGCTGTTTCCATTGATTTTTAAACCTGTGATGATGCAGAAACATCATGACAGGAAGGTATGCTGGAGTAAATCTGCTCACCTCATGGAGGCCAGGAAATGGAGAGATCGAGAGAGGAAGGAACCAGGAACTATATAGGTCCCAAAATTATGTCCCTATGACCCAATTTCGCCTACTAGGCTCCACCTCCAGCTTGTGAAATTGCACATGGATCAGTGGATCAAGCCGTTTATGAGGTAAAAGCCATCAGGATCCAGTCACCTTCTGAAAGCCCCGCTGATGAACACATGAGAATTTGGCACCACATTTGAGAACTAAACCATAACACCCTTTCACTTTTTTAATATTTTGAATGAGGGAAAGAATTGCTATACTTATTGCTTTGGTTTCAAGTAATGTACTTTAAGGAAAAGTTGCTCGTGAGACTGAGACTAGCCTCTGAGGACATGTATAACAGACACTTTCACTTTCAAGGACAGAGAAAAAGGAAAATTACATGTGGAAAATAGTGATGTTTCTAGACGAGTCAACTTGACTATTATTTACTCATTTCATGGAGTTATGGAATATGATATCCTTGTGTTTTATTTATAATTTAGGACATTTGTTTCACATAAATTATTACAAAGACTGGAATGAAATGCTTTACTCACTGGTATAAGCTTGTCATGCTCTTTCACTAGAACTAGCATAGAAATAAACATTATTATGATTAAATAAACATTATTATGATTTAACTAAAGACCTCTGATGGCTTCATGCTCACCCCCTGAGGATGAGCATATGGCTAAATGATCACCTACTCTTCAGGTGACAATGATCACTCCCTTTCACACCTCTAATGTAAAAGGCTCTTGCCACCTTTGATACAGAGTGTGAACATGAAGTTTGGCAGGATCTGCAGCAACACTGAGAGTCTTTCACCTAAATCTTAACTCCTTCGCCACATGCTTGCTCTGCAAGGAGCAAGCAATCGTCCATTATGGAAATGGACTTTTTAAAGACTGCAATGAGTCTATGATGAGGCTACCAAATGTTCCCACTATTGGAAATGCCACCCTTTTCCTAGAATAGCCAATCTCTGACAATCTTCTATCGTCATTACAATCTGTGAACTCATCTTTTGGCTGGTCAATCTAGGCTCTGCCCTCAAATATGCAGTAGAAAGGTTCCCAGTATGAAGGAAAACATTTGTACAAGTAACACACACCTCTGCTTAAATGATGGATGGGTGAACTAAAAGATAAACTCTCCTATCTTCAATACCAAGGCAAACAGAAGGTCATAATAATGGGCCTCCTATTTTATTGAAGAAGAATCAAAGAATG